CCCCAGAACAGTGTCTCTTTTCCCAGGATGTCCATAAATATACTGGAAGCAGGCCACACCCCTAGGGAAACTCCCTTTCAGCGGATTGGCTGTTCAAAACATATACATCTGATCCCATCATTGGAACAATCCACATCACAGTTGCTTAAACCACACACAGAATTGTGGTCCAGCCAAGTTGACACACAGCTCCCACTATCACAGTATTTAAATTTGGAATAGCATAATTTCATAATTATGACTTTGTGGGTCCTACGGGCCATGGATGGAAATTGACTAAACGACAGCAAGTTTGGGGTTTTTTTGGTTTATAGCGCAGGTAGCAGTGATCCATAGTCATAAGCACTACTACTACTATGGTTTGCAGAAATAATTGTATTTGCAGAGTACTTTCCTGTGAGCTCTTTACTTGAGATACACAGCTGTCTTGTAGATGACGTATGATTATTCATTTTTTAAAGACAAGGAAACTGAGGCTGTAAGGTCATAGAATTTAGTGTTGAGAGTGACATTTTAGGGTCTGACATCCCCCCTCCTCCCACCTCATAGAGGTGCACAGCTTAGTGACTTTCTCATAGTAACACAGCTAGTTAATGAAAAACCTGTTAGTGAGAAAGAAGCTTGGTTCCTTTCCGTGAGTATAACCAGATTTCTGCTGCATCTCATGTTTCTTGATAATGCAGCTGATCACAGAGATATGTTCTTGAGAGTGTTCTCGAATGTCCATGTATTCCTATCACTCAGGCTGCTTGGGAAAAATCATTACGTTAAGGAACTCCACCATGAGTTCTTCAGCCAAGTGTAGCTCTTTTGAATATAAAGAACTCCCTTCTTAATTTTTTAGTTTGTTACCTAAATATAATTCTTTCGAATTCCTTATCAGGGAGTTTCAGTGCTGCGTCTTCCTCAGGGATGTGTTTTGGGTTTGTATCCTGGTCCCTGGTTTCTCCTGCTTTATCTTGCTTCTTTGTGTGGACTGTGATGCTCTGTTGTCTCCGAGGCATTGTGACATTTTTGTTTATATTTAATTGGTGATTATATGTTGGAGTGACTTGCCCACGATTTTCGTTTTCTTTGTTTTGTTTATTTGTTATCTATACAGGCAGGGTACTGTTCTGTGCTCCTCTATTCACTAGTTGACAGCACTTTACACTCACCTGGGAGGAAGGTTGGGCAATCTACTTCCGTAGTGATACTGCCTCAGAAGCCCAAGGAGGGGTCACTATGAGTTGGGTCTGACTCGATGGCGCACAACAACAACAAAAACTCTTACCACCTGTCTCCTTTCCATTGTCAGCCTCTCGTATGTCCTTGCTGACCCTCGCAAACAGAGCCTGTTCTTAGGTCCCTGGAATCCAAATGAGAATACTATCACTTTAAAATCCAAAATGGTTGCCACTTGTAAACATTCAAAATGGCTGCGCCCTCGGTCACCGTAAATATCCAAAATAGCTGCCACATGTAAACAATCAAAATGGCTGCGCCCTCTGGACAGCAGAAAGTCCACAGCTCAGGTTGTCTCCCTCCTTGCTGTTTCCCTTCCTAGTCATAGGCTACCAGAGCAGTTGTCACTGCAGCCCAGTAGCTGACAGTCCTCAGCTCTGTCTCTGTACTCACTGTTTTTGTTCAGGTTTTTCACTAGTTGGTGCCTAATCCACTTCTGTATAGTTCCTTTCACAGCTCAGGGTTCCAGGATTATCTTCTGTATCTCTGTCAATTGGTTTTTCTTTTCTTTGTTGAAGAGGGTCTGTGTCGCTTCTCTACCTATTCCTCCCTCTTACCAGAAGTCTTCTAATTTTTTAATTTGTTAAGTGATAATTCTCATGTATGAGAACTTCATGTGGTTTTGTCTCTTACTAATATGTATATTATTCTGATTGATTTTTCTCATGTGTTAAACCCAATGTTGCTTCCCATGGCTGAATCTCACCTGGTCTTGGTATATAATACTTTTTTTAATTTTAATTTTTTTTAAGTTACTGGATTTTTTTTTTTTTTTTTTTAATTAGGATTTGGGTGAAGATTTACAGAGTAAATTCACTTTTCATACAGCAGTTCACATATGCTTTGTCTCGTGTCATTGACCAAAATTTACAATGCAGCAGCTCCCCTCCCACTTCCTCCCCATAGTTATAATGTTACTGGATTTTGCTTGCTAGTTATTTGCTGAAGATATTTATATCTATATTCATATGAGATACTGGTCTCTTTTTCTTTTCTTACCTAGGTTTGGGATCAGTGTGATCTAACCTTATAGAATGAGTTGGAAGGTGTTCTTTTCCATTTTTTGGGAAAGTTTGTAAAGGATGGTTGTTATTTCTCCTTTAAATATTTGGTAGAATTTACCATCGAAGCTTTCTGTGCCTGGATTTTCCTTTGTGAGAAGTTTTTGATCACTAATTCAACTTCTTTATTTATTACAGGGCTATTCAGGTTTTCTATGTTTTCCTGAGGCAGTTTTGGTGGTTTGTGTTTTTCTAGGAATTTGTTCTTTTCATCTAGCTTATCTCATTTGTTTGCATAAAATTGTTTCTAATGTAACAAAACATGGTAACTCAGGAAATCAGATTGTCCCCCTTCCCCAGGGTTTGTTGTTACTGCTGTTTATTGACTTTTCTGGGCTATTCTATAAAGTTTGTATTGTTTGTCATGTAACGTCATGCCACTGAAATCTCTGCTTGATGAACTTAGTCATTAGCTAATGATTGAATAGAAATGTCCTTAAATGCCTTGAGTGTTTAAGTTGCTCACCCTCTGCCAAGGGGCTCTCTATGTGGTAGGCCATGACTTCGGTGATCTTGAAGTTTTCAGCTCTGCCTTAGCCTTCATTTCCTGCTTGTGTAAAGTCTCAGGGGCAGCCAGAATTGAGAGATGAGGGCCTTCTCAGGTCTCTCCTAGACACACACAGAGTTCTATTAATGTACATAACATTTTTTGTCCCCAGGAATATCTCATATTTTCAAAACCCCCTATGGACATCCCATTTCCTACTTTTTCCTTTTAAGTTTTTTTGGTCAGCCTCTTGTTAACCCCAGCTGATAATGCCACCTCAGACCACAGCAGTGTTCAGCAATTGCCCTGTTTTGACAAATACCCTGGGATAGGACTGGGTGAACTCTAATTTAGGTCAGATAAAGACAAGTGCTGAGAAATGGAGCTTTTCAGCAAGTCACCAAACAGGTCACCTAGTGACAGTTCTCTGGGGATGGGATTTTTGGGGAGCTCCAGACCTGTTCTGTCCGCTCTGGTGGCTGCTAGTCTGTTGGTTTCACAGCTGCCGTAGTTATGAAGCTGTTGGCTTTAAGGCTACTGCAGAGCTAATGAGAGGGAAAGATGGGATTAGAGAAAGATGAGATAGCAGTAAGCTTGCTGTTCTTACTGGGATTCTGCTGGTTTTCCTTTAGTAAATGCTCCTTGGAATGTTGCAGGCCTTAACGTTAAGTTTGAGGGTTATGAAAAAGTTGATTTTGACAGTGTTTGCCAGTATTCTCATTGATTTAATAGAGAATATTTTTGGAGGTCTTTACTCTGCTATCCTACTCATCAGTACTTCATCAAATGAGGCTCACTGAGCGTCTCCATGCACACAGGCTTGTCTGCTCTGCCTCACTTTGTTTGATGTTCTTTATTGTCTGAGTATTTGAAGTGAAATCCTTGACAGCTTCAGTCTCTTTTCCATTTATCATGATGTTGCTCATTGGTCCAGTTGTGAGGATTTATGTTTTCTTTATGTCAAAGTATAATCCATACTGAAGGCTGTTGTCTTTGATCTTCATCAGTATGTGCTTCAAGTCATCTTCACTTTCAGCAAACAAGGTTGTAACATCTGAATATCACAGGTTGTTAATGAGTCTTCCTCCAATCCTGATGCCTCGTTCTACTTGGTATAGTCTAGTTGCTTGGGTTATTTGCTCAGCGTACAGGTTGAATAAGTATGCTGAAAGGATACAACCCTGACACACACCCTTCCTGATTTTAAATGATATAGTATCTGCTTGCTCTGTTCCAACAACAGCCTCTTGATCTATGTACAGATTCTTCATGAGCACAATTAACTATTTTGGAATTCCAGTTCTTTGCAATGTTATCCGTAATTTGTTATGATCCACACAGTTGAATGCCTTTGCATAGTTGATAAAACACAGGTAAACATCTTTCTGGTATTCTTTGCTCTCAGCCAAGATCCAGCCTTAGAGTGGGGAGCAAACATTGCACACTAACCCCGTGTTACCAGACCTTGCCACAGATCCCAGATCACATGATCTGCTAATCCTGCCAGCACAGCCCTTCTTTGGCAGTCAGGCCAACTTTGTACACTATCCTGTGATGAAATCCATCATTCTCCTAAGTTAGAGTTGGGGAAAAAACAACTAATAGCTAAAATGGCCCATTTCCTCCGAATACTTTTGGGATTTGAAATTCAGTCCAGACATAACATTAATTTCTCTAGATCACATCTCATAGTCCTGGTGAACAACTTGAGTTTTCAGTTAAATCCTTTTTTCAATCCCTACATTTATAATCTCTGTTCTCACATTAATAGGAATTTGGGTTTCTTCGTGACCAGAAGTCTAGAGTTATGGATAATTATCAGGTTATATCCTTTCATTCCAGAGGCCATCAGGGTCACTTCTGTTAGATGGAAATACAAATGTCTATTGGCAAAAAGTAAAGAAATGATGTTCTGAAAATCTGCATGTGATCGTATAGCTGTTAATATGTCAAATTGTGGATTTTTCATCTCTTTTCTGTCAGATAGTCATGTAATCAAGTAGTCTAAAATGTGGTATTAGATGGTAGCACAACAATTTTGAAATCTTGAAAGATAAAACTGGAAACATTTGCTTGTATATTTTTTCCCACCTCAGAGTGTTTTGTTAATGAGACATTTTATACTGCCATAAACCCAGGGCAATAATAAAGGTGTTGATTGATTTTTGGATGGCAAGGGCCTCCTCTAATTGCAGAATTTGACATGTGTGTCCCTTCTGCTATTTTAGGTGAGCAAGACGTGGAAGGTGATTGCAGAAGATGAAGTGCTCTGGTACAGACTGTGCCAGCAGGAAGGCCACCTTCCCAAGAGCAGCATCTCTGACTATTCTTGCTGGAAGCTCATCTTCCAAGAGTGCCGAGCCAGGGAACACATGTTAAGAACCAACTGGAAGGTAGGCATTGGCCAGCACCATTACCTGGAGAAAAGTAGCCAGCACGGCGTGGAGGTCCAGGCAGGAGATTAAACTCGGTCCCTTGAATTACAGCCAGAGGTTGGTTGCCAGGAGCGATGGCGGAGGAGTGCAGCGAGTGGCCTCCTCAGCTGTGGGTGATTTGTTGCCCGTTTTGTTCTCCATTAGACTGTCCTCCCATTTTCAGCCACTGGATTTGGGCACATCCTCTTGTTCTCCAGGAGAGGAAGGGTGGGATTGGCCGGCCAGCCACTTGCCCTCTGATGGTTGGGATCTTTGGGGCCCCCTTTCCTTCCCTTTGACCAGCTCTCCAGATGGACAAAGAAAGCAAAAACTTTCAACCACCTGAAACACAAAAGAGGAGCTGAAAAAATGTTAGTTCCAGTAAATGTGAACCAGAGATTAGTAAACGCCTCTCCGTACGGTCTTCTTCTCCCTCACGTAACCTGTTGGCTCACTTCCACAGCATTTATCACTTCACAGTCTCTACAGAAATAGTAGATCAGAGCTCAGAATCTGCACAGAGAAATGTTGCTATAGGAAATTACTGTCAAGAGCACTGTTACATAAAGCTGTCTGAGGCATGACAAGACACCCGAGTGATGGTATTTCTTTCCACCTGGGTGCTTCCAGCTGGGTATTCAGTTGTCTAAAAGGGGTAGAATGGTACTCCCTTTCCCCTCCTGTAAAGGTCAATCCTAATAGACTTAGAGGTTAACAAGCTTTTGCTCATTGCTGATGGTGACATATTGCCTGTGTGCATGCCTGTCCCCAGTCATCTCATAACCTAATTAGTGACAGATATTCTTGATCTGGGCAACCTCTCTAGTTTCTGGTAAAGGAAGGACAGTGTTTCTCTAGTTCTGGGTTTCCTGACCACACCACCACTGACATCTTGGACCAGATGGTTATTTGTGTGGGGGGGAGGGGCTGCCTTGTGCGTTGTAGGAGTTTGGGCAGGAGGGTCCCAGCCCTTACCCTGCAGACGCAGCAGCACTCTCCCTCTCCCTTCACTTGTAACAGCCAGCAGTATCTCCACACGTTGCCAGGTGTCCCCTAGGGGGCAAAAGTGCCCCTTGTTGAGAACCACTGTTCGGAGGACAATTAGAGTGGCTTTCCTTTTTTAAGCCATTAAGACATTACCACTAAATCAAACCGTGCGGCCCCCCAGGGTGAGTTTGCTTCTATGCAAGGTGGTGAACTCTTTGGGGACGCTCAGCCCTGTGGCCTACAGGCCTGAGGTTGTGATGGAAACAAGGGAAAGGATGGGATGAAGGCCTGAAAAAGGACGCCTTCCGAAAAACGGGGTCAGAAAGCAGAGGATCTAACCCCTGGTGGGTGGGGATTTAAAGAAAGCTGGAGAATTGGGCGTTAACTGGGGCCTTGCTATCCAGAGAGAAGTGATAACTTAAGAGGGATTTGTGAGTGTGGTTGCCAGAGATAGTAATTGTCCCCTGGCTAGTATTCAGAAGTGTCAGACCTGGAGGGAGAAAGTAGCGTGTAAGCTTTTGCTTTCTCTTTGGTAATGGAGGGAGGGAGGCAGGTACCCCTTCATCGTGCGGGCTGCAGGCGGCAAAGGTGGAGGTGTTTAAAGACCTGCCCCACAGCATTTGGCATTTAATGACAGTATACAGGTTATGCAGAATGTCACTGAACATCTATTTCTGTTTCTCTCTAACAAGCAGAAAGCCATATGTTTGGTAGGTGCTCCGTAAGAGGTTGTTGACTGACTGGAGTAAAACTGCAGGCATCCTAGGAGGGAGACTTCTGTTTGGGCCGTCTTGAGCCAATTTTCCAACACTGTTAATAATAAGAACTAATAAGTGATATTTTTAATGATGAATCTTTTTTCCTTCAGTGTAATGATAGGGTTCTTACTGTAATTTTCAAATGAAAGGCCTATAGAAGCATAAAATGTAGTGTTAGAACACGTTGCTTTACAGTCATTGCCCTTGTTTTTGCATCTGTAGAGCAGGGCTAAGATTTGCACCACTCCTGGGCTTGTGGTGAGGCTGACTGTAGCAGTACTTCTCACACACCCCCTGCAGAGCTCACTCAAGTTCAATGCTAAGTCATTGTTGGCCACAGTTGCCCCTAAAGCTTCCTGCACAGATACTGTGATACTGTGCTAGTCATGGTCGACTTCAGAATGGGTTGAGCAGCTGATATGGAGTGGTAGCTCGTAGATCAGTGTCTGTAGAAACCCTAGAAGGAATCCCAAATTCTCAGGGACCTCCATATAGAGGATGAACTGCAAATGCATGATGAGCTTACCTGGACCTGCAGTTCAGATCCAACCTGGGTGTGGTTTGCATAAACTCTCTTTGTCTCTGGTATTCTAGGCTCTCTAGGACTGGAATACCAGTGTGGATGTGGAGCCTGTGAGGGCCCGGGAAGCCCCATGACGAGATGTTGGTGAATGCTGTAAGCATGCCGGCTTTCCTCTCGGGGGCTCACTTTCTGCCAGGGGCTTTTCCCCTCAGAAGAGCTTTTCCACTCTGGGTCACTGTGTCTGTGGCCCTCACACAGATGACTCGCAAAGTTGACCTCTCCTCCCTTTAACAACACCAGCGGGAGAGCTCCCCTTGGACGTGTTTCGTTTTACCCTTCAGCCTTAGACTGGGCCCTCAGGTTAAGTAAGATGTTACACAGTGGATCAGATCATCTTGCACAGTGCCTGGGACACAGCTGCATGGTAAACGTTGATTTTAAATGGAACGGATGTCATCGTCCTTTTCCTAGTAATATAAGTAATACAATAATAGTAATAGCTGCCACTACTTACTGAAAGCTTACCACATGCTAGGAGCGGCACTCGACACTTGCACACGCTGTTTCTAAGCCTCGTGCCAGTTCTGCAGAGTAAATACTAGGTTCTCTGATACCTTTATTCACACTTGCTTTTTGGCTTGAATTAGCCTCCGCTTTCCCACCATCTTCACGTAAAAGCGTTATGTTTCTCAAGACCCGTTTATATTTACCTTAAAAATAATTGTGTAAACCCATTGTTTCTAGGTTGTTTCTGCCTCATGGTGACCCTATAGGAAGAGTAGAATTGCCTGTGGATTTCCTGTCTATATAGAAGCAGACTGCCACATCTTTTTCCCACAGAGGGGCTGATGGATTTGAACCAGTCACCTTTTGGTGTGCAGCCTAGCACTTAACCACTGCCCTACCAGGGTGCCTAAAAAATATTTATATACATAAGAAAAATGACCATAGTATAGTAATTCACAGTTCACAAAGGGACACACAGTGGAAAAGACCTCTCTGCCTCTCTCTCTCTCTCTTGCCTCTGTCTCTGGCACCTGCTGTCCCACCTGAGGAGGCACTGCATTACTTACAGGTTTTTAGGGTTCCCTTTTAATACTGTTTCTATGAAACTTCTAACCTCTCAGTCAGAAACCATTTCTTCTCTTCTTCCTTTTTTCCAATCCTGATTTTATCTCTTTGTGTGTGTGTGTGCTTGTGCATGTGTGCATGTGCGTGTGTGTGTGTGGCTGTTGTAGTCTGAGAGTTCTCCTTAGAGTTGCTCACAGGTAGCATCACTTGATGCTTTCTCTTCTCTGAACCAAACTGTTCCTGCACTTTATATACCGGTCTTCCCCAGCTTATGTTGGGGTTTCATTTGAGTTGTAAGTCACTTCTGATGTATATAAAATATTTCTTTTATTTTTTTGTTTTGGTTTTCATTTTGTCTTTTATTATCAATACCTTTATGAATCCATTTATCTATCTTTGGGGTTTGGAAAAATCACATACAGACATCAGTGAGTGAACATATGAGAATGATAACATTAACATCAGCAGATTACGTGCTGCAACGTTGTATGCAGTACGCAAAAAACAGTGAGTATGGTTTGTTGTAACTCAAATATGTGGTAAGTCAGGACCTACCTGTATTCTCCACCATCAGCAGGTACTTTGCAGTCCAGCATTATGTACATGTTTCATTTATTATCTTGTGATCTCCTTTAGGAAAGGGGCAGCATCTCACTCACCCCCGCCCGAGTTCATGGATATGGTAGCTTGAAAATGCACAAGTGTTTAGCATGTTAGTTGTCGTTTTCCGTTCAGATGCCAGGATGACTTGGAGCGTGGCGCATGCTCTGGAAAGGAGATGAAAGCCGGCAGCTCCATCTCTGGCTATAGGGATAGTACCAACCTCACCTCCCTTTGTCATCTTGCAGAACCGCAAAGGAGCTGTGAGCGAGCTGGAACACATCCCTGACGCAGTCTTATGTGATGTACATTCTCACGATGGAGTGGTCATTGCTGGGTAAGCAAAAATGGTTGGTTTGTTTGTTTTTAACAGCACTCTGCATCTTCAGGTCTTTGATTTTTCATGTACCACCATCTGAGAACCAGTGACCTTATCTTTCCGTGAGAGTTTGTGCCTTTCTGAGTCACAGCCCCTGTTTAAGATGGGAAATTGCTCTGATTCTGTTCTCCAGTGTTTGAGATTTGAGGGCTCTGACATAAGTGGGGAGAAGCAAGTGGTGTCGAGCAGATCTGTAATGCATTTTTCTCCATATGTCTTTGCTGGCTTTCAAATCGCTCTCGTGGCATGCACTGTTAGATTTTCATTAAGGTAAACAGTTTGCATTTTATGAAGACATAAAAAAGTCAAACAAGAATAATAAAGTGTTGGCAACAAAGTGGGTCTGCCCATATTTTCTTTTTCTGAAGCCCTGTACGTTATGAGGCACGGCTGTGGCCACACACAGTCTTCCTTTCCCACCACATTATACCTGTTTGCTACTTAAGTTGTCCTGAAATAGGCTTTTTATGTCTCATTGGCTAAGAAATCTAATTTTCATCTGTGTAAATCCCTTTGGCTTCTGTTCCCAAAACCACTTTCATGAATTCTTCATATTTTGCTACAATGATGTGTTTATGTTATGTCTTTCTTCACTGTACAAGAAGATCAGTTTACTTTCTGTATGTAGGAAGACTATCTTAAAGTACAGTCTCAACGTATGTACTGTCTGCCACCAGGTAGAGACCAGAACATTTAAACTTGTGAATCTAGATTGGTTTTGGAGTGAACCACCAAGAGAAGTTCCTCCCTATATACAGGAAAAAAAATAAACCCTAGACTTAAAAACTTGGTAGTAGCTGTGTCTCTTTCTTCAGAGAAAAACCTTTCCTTAGGAAGCATTCCTTAAAGAGCAGAGTTGGAACTGAGATGCCACGCAGTCAGATTGTTGTCACATTTTGTAGGCCTAGGAGAAAATAGTTCCACCGTAAACACAATTATGTCCAGGAGAGCAGTCTTCTCTCGCTTCCCTTTACTGGCCACCATTTAGAGGCCGATGCCCTTCTTGGGAGTGTCAGAGAACTGTTATTTGTAGAAAGATGAATGGACTAGAAATCTGGCGTTCTGTCCCTGTAGCTATCAGTGAAGGAGCCCTGGTGGGATCAGTAGCTAAGTGCCCAGCTGCTAACAGAAGGATTGATGGTTCAGACCCATCCAGTGGCTCTGTGGAGGAAAGACCTGACATCTGCTTTGCTGACGACAGCCTGGAAAACCCTGTGGGCAGTTCTGCTCGTCACATGGGATCTCTGAGTTGGAATTGACTCAGTGGCAACATGAACAACAGTTGTCAGTCTGAGGACCTTGGGCTTCTGTATGCGTTTGGTAAAATGTGGGCCTTAGAGCCCATGATTAGTAAGGTCCTTTCTTGCCCACTAACTGTGAGATTCGGTGGTAACTCGGAAAGGCATTTCTATTTTCAAGGGTCTCTGCCTAGTGTGTTCAAAGGCACTGGAGGACAGAGTGTTGAGAGTGGACTAATGAGCAATAAAAGAAATTAGAATAAAGGACAGACTTTCACCTCAGGAGCCAGCTGTCAATTTCTTGTCTGGAGGTGGGCCTCATGAAAGGAAAGCCGTGAGCCCCGGTGCCAGGCCTCTCTCCCTGCTCTGTGCTCCCTTGGGGTCTGTTCAACATTACTGATTATGCCAGCACAAAGCAAAGCGACGGCAGAGTTTTGTGGATCGATAAGATGAAACTTGATCCGTGGGTCAGAGAGGCTCCTCAAGTCTTCTCTTACTAAGAGAACCTTAGTTTATGGCCTACATCAGCTACTTCAGTCTTGCCTGGGTGTAGAGCATCTTGTGTTTATCATTAAAATTTTATCTGGTGGTTACGATGCTTGTTTTCTGGGTCAGATCTTGAATCCCTTTTCATTTGAGACAGTGGTGTTTGTGGTTACCTCATTCCCAATCAATGTTGTATTCACCAGCTTTCTACAGTTGTGTATCTCCAAGGAGTTCTTAAAGAGACCCCCTCACCATTTCTCTCTCTTGTAGCTATCTTGCGTTTCTCTTATTTTTCCTCTTCCCTCCCCCCCCCCCCTTTTTTCTTTTACATAAACAGAATCTGTTCAGGAACTTCGTTTTATGTATCTAGAGCTAAAGTACTTATTTTTCCATTTGACCTGTTAAATGTATTTCTTATAATTGATGGAGAGCAAAGACTGTTCAATAATCCCTTGCTGCTTCCCACCTTTCCAGGTCTCTTTGTAAATGTTCCTGGTTTGGGGTTGTTACCCAGGCGTAAACTAATTTTTTTTCTTTTTAATTGTGATAAAGTACATATAACGTAAATTTGACCATTTTAACAACTTTACACTGTACAATTCAGTGGCATTTAATAATTCTCTGACCATTATCTAGTTCCAAAACATTTTCATCCCCTCAAAAGGAACCCCATACGCAAGAACAGTCACTTCCCCTTTTTCACACCCCACAGCCCCTGGCAACCACTGACCTGTCTTTCTGAACCTGCCTCCTGGACTGACTGTCATTACAATGAACCTCACAACTGACTCACTCTTGGTTCTTCCTTACTCTTCTTTCCACAGGAACACCGTTAACCTCACTTGACAGACACTCATGTAGTAATCATGTGAACAGGAGCTGGCCCTGTGTACCTGACACTGGTTTTTTCAGGACAGGAAAGAGACATTATTCTCCAAGCTTTTGGTTTTCCACTCTTTTGTCCATAAGTCTTTGTTTTCTTATTATCTGATGGATAATTTCCAGCAACTATTTCTTCACATTCTGAGCCCTTTGACATTTGTCTCTAGTCTTCCTTTCTCTTACTCTCCTCAGTGGACCTCTGGTTGTTCCATACTGATCTAGTTCATCACCTGTGACCACATCTTTTTTTTTTTTTTTTTTTAATCGAGATATGATACATATACCCTAACATTCCCCCTTTATAGTGTGCAATGCAGTGATAGTTTTAGTATGTTTACAAGATGGTACAGCCATCACCACTGTGTAATTCCAGAACATGATTGTCACTCCAGGAAGGAAGTGTACCTTTTAACTGTCATCCCCCAAACTCCCCACTGAGTCCTCCTAGTCTTAAGTAGCCACTGATTTACTTTCTGTCTCTATAGATTTGACCATTCTGGACATTTCGTCTAAATAGTTCACATAACATGTGGTCCTTTGTGACAGGCAGGCTTCCTTCACTTAGCATGATGCTTTTGAGGTTCATCCACATTGTTCCATTCCTTTTTGTGCCTGAGTAATACTCTGTTGTATAGATGGACCGCATATTGTTGTTCTGCATTCATGAGTTGATGGTCATTTGGGTTATCACTGACACACTTACATGCGATTTCCCTCTCTGCTCCTGTTCATGCAATTCCCTCTGCTCTTTTCATGTTCTTCCCATTACAGTTTTACTCATTCTTTAAGGCTCAACTCAAGCCTTACCTCCTCCCTGCAGCCTTCCAAAGTATCCCCTTCTCAGAAGTTGTGGAGAAGTGATTATCTGTAGTTTATAAAGCATCTAATCATGTGGCATCATGGGTTTGCCTATGCGTTTTGGTTTATATTGTTACTTTACCTTAACATAGTTTTTGAACTTAAAGCCTTGTGTGTGTTTTTTTTTCTGGTTAAATTGTAGGTGTCTTTTAAAAGAAGACTATGCATAGTATCTCATTAAATGTCCTGTCAGGCTGGTACGTTGTTTTGTGTAGAGTAAGTTCTCACATTTAATACAGACTTCACCTGCCCTTGCCACCTGTGTACTGCATGTTATGTAGGAAACTGAAGAAATTTCTTTCTTTCTTTCTCTAACTTCTTAAAGTTTTTCTACTTAGAATCATGTATTCCAAGCCTGGAAGGAGCTTTAGAGATGGTCATTTCACACTCACTCATTTTGTAAATGCAAAAGTTGATGTTCAGAGACCCTTAACCCCTAGTCACTCTGTAGGGGCAGAGGGGTGGAGTCCTTAGGTGCGGTCCCGTGCTACCGCACACCTGGCGTCATCCTCTTTAACCCCTGAAGCTCGCAGAGGCCTGGAGAGGGGCCACTGAAGCCTGAGGGTCCAAAGGGGGTGTGCCTGTGGTTGGCTCATGTCCATCGAGTCGGGAACAACTCCTCTAAGAGTCATTCGTGCTCTCTCCTGTCTCTTGAGAGATGTGCTTTCCCCACAGGCTTCGAATCTCCTTAAACTCATTAAGAATTGTGGTCTTTTCCTTACTTATGAAAAACCGTGAGTCAGGTTTAAACCATGATGTATTTTAAGCTGCAAATGCAGGAACAGAGATTGTTTCTTGTCCATTGCTTTTTGTTATCATTGTCCTTGAACTAAGAGTATTCCTCAAGGGGCATTGCTTTGTTTGTTAATCGCAGGAACTGTTTAGACTACTGGGCATAGTGAATTGTTAATCTCCATAAGTACCATGGAAACAAGGCTCTGGGAATTGATGGCATACCAATTGAGATATTTCAACAAACAGATGCCCCATTGGAGGCACTCACTCAGTTATGCCAAGAGATTTGGAGGACAGCTACCTGGCCAACTGACTGGAAGAGATCCATATTTGTGCCCATTCCAAAGAAAGGTGATCCCACAGAATGTAGAAATTATAGAACAATATCATTAATATCACATGCAAGTAAGAGCTTACTGAAGATAATTCAGAAACGGTTGCAGCAGTATATTGACAGAGAACTTCCAGAGGTTCAAGCCGGATTCAGAAGAGGACGTGGAACAAGGGATATCATAGCTGTTGTCAGATGGATCTTGGCTCAAGGCAGGGAATACCAGAAAGATGTTTACTTGTGTTTTATTGACTATGCAAAGGCATTTGATTGTGTGGATCATGACAAATTATGGATAACATTGAGAAGAATGGGAATTCCCGAGCACTTGATTATACTCATGAGGAATCTGTACCTTGACCAGGAGGCTGTTGTTCGAACAGAACAAGGGGACACTACATGGTTTAAAATCAAGAAGGGAGTGCGTC